GAAAATTAAGCCCTCTTGCTTTTATAAATAGCTATCTAGCATAAATTCTGAATTATTTTCTTGTTGGTTAAAGGATACCCAGGTGGAAATGCTAAAATCATTGTCATGGTTTGCCTTGGAGTTTAGAAAATATTGCTATATGTAGTTTATGCTACATTTTTTTAACCTATAGGCTACCATAAAAATTAACTATAAGATGATTTTATTGTCTAGATTTATTTTATTATTGAATTATTTTTACATTATCTGAGCTTATGCTCCAAAAATGTGACAGGACTGGAACTAGGGTGAGGGACTGAGGCATTTACCTCAGGCTCAAAATTCAAGAGGGTACCAAATAACTCAGTAATCAACATATATCATATTTTAACAAGATATCTTTAAAATAAAAATTAAGGCCAAGAGCTCTGGTCATTTTGGCTCAGTGGATAGAGCGCCAGCCTGCAGATTGAAGGGTCCCAGGTTTGATTCCGGTCAAGGGCATATGCCCGGGTTTCAGGCTCGATCCCCAGTAAGGCTTGTGCAGGAGGCAGCTGATCAATGGTTCTCTCTCATCGTTGATGTTTCTATCTCTCACTCTCCCTTCCTCTCTGAAATCAATAAAAATATATTTAATTTCAAGAAATACCATAGATCTAAATCAAGATCAAGAGATCTGTGTTCTGCCATATTTGTGGACTATTATCTGTTTGATTACATGTTGAAACAAACAACTAAGGAAAGAGAGAATCTTGTTTTTTCTTCATTGGTTTAAGGATAAAATGGATCTAAACTTAATATCTCCATTTCACAGGATCATTACATTAATAGTATTTTAATCAAAATGACAATTTTAGTGAGTAGAAACTATTACTTTCTGATCACCTACATTTACTGTATGTAACTCATGTATGGGTATGTAACATGTAACTCATATTTAAGTCCATATCCTCATTTTACAAATTTCCCTAATTGTTTCACTTATGGAAATTTTTTCTGATCCAGGTTCCAATTCAGGTCATGCTATGCTTTTAGTGCACTATATCTGGCATCTACTACGTATTATGAAACAATAGCCAAGTTTGTCTTTTATATAGTTAACATTTTTTAAGAATATAGATCAATATTTTTTAGATTATTCTTCAACTGATATCTCCTTTTTATTGGGGTCAGATATGCTTTTGGTGGAGGAACATACAGAGGCAATATCATATTACATCAGGAAGAATATGTCCGTTTCTCCCATCATTGGTGATGATAACTTTATTTTAAAAAGTATAACATTTGTTCATTAAAATACTACTCTTTTTTTTTCCTAATGAATATTTGTGGGGAAGATACTTTGATACAATCTAATTATCTATTTTAATATATTTTTATTGATTTCTTACAGAGAGGAAGAGAGAGGGATAGTTAGAAACATCGATGAGAGAGAAACATCGGTCAGCTGCCTCTTACATACCCCCCACTGGGGATGTGCCCGCAACCAAGGTACATGCCCTTGACCAGAATCAAACCTGAGACCTTTCAGTTCACAGGCCGATGACGCTCTATCCACTGAGCCAAACTGGTTTTGGCCAATGTAATTATCTTGTTGCTTTTTAAACTTTCACTTAATAATTTTAGTATCTATTGATGATTTTATTTGAATCAGTTATTATTATGAAGGTTGAAAAATAGTAATTTTCTAACTCTTAATGTCATCTACATTATTAGTTGTCAATCTCAGCAAGAAAGAACTTTCTCTTCTCCTTATTTATTTGCTATTTACTTGCTTTCTACTGGTACGGACTGTGGATACTTCTGTCAGTCTATGGTTTATAATACATTCTTCCATCTTCCATTTTGATGCTGCAGTTTTCTCATTTTTGTTCAGAGGGATCCCTTCCAGTTGTCTCCTCTGTCTGTCATTTTTAAGTAATCCCTTCAATATTTGAGCGCTCCCTTATTTTTTGGCAGAACAAGAAGTTATAATTCATCTTGTTCTTTGCCTGCCCCAGTTTTCAGCTATTTCACCAAGGTGGTCTGGTTCCCTTTACTGAAAATTTATATTTGAAAAAACAAAATCTGAGTGCTAAATATGCTTGTCTACTAGGAAGTTGTTGCTTCTGAGCATACAATAAAATGTGCTCTTTCAAGCGCATAGTTCAGTGAATTCTGTCAGATTTATATGCCCATGGTCAGTGCTCAGTCTTCATTGTATTTGATCTATTAGCAGCATTTGAGACTGAGGGTCACAACTTTCTCCTCACAATATGTCTTCACTAGCCTCCCAATCAGTGATACTCTCCTGGTTGTCCTCCAGCTGCCTGGGTACTCCTTCTGTCTCTTTTGATCTTTTCTACTCTTCTCAGACCCATTAAAGTTGATGTACTGCAGAACTCAGGCTTGGATGCTTTTCTCGTCTGTATCTACACTCATTCCCTAGGTAATCTCATCTGACAACTCCTAAATTTGTGTTTTTAACTCAGTCTTCTCCCCTAAGCTCTGGATTTTATATCCGCTTATTTCTATTATTTCATATGTGTGGGGTTTCTTTTCTTTTTTTTTTTTTTTTCCTGTTTTTTTTTAAATATATTTTATTGATTTTTTTTTTGCCCCCTTCCCTCCCTCCCATACATACCCTCCCTCCCCAGAGTTTTATGTCCATTGGTTGTACTTATATGCATGTATACAAGTCCTTCGGTTGATCTATTATCTCCTCCAAATCTCCCTCCCCTGTGTGGGGTTTTTTTATTGATTTCAGAGAGAGGAAGGGAGAGGGAGAGATAGAAACATCAATGATGATTTTCTCTGCCTCCTATATGCCCCCTTCTGGGGATTGAACCCACAACCCAGCCGTATACCCTGACCCGGATTCAAACCATGACCTCCTGATTCATAGGTTGACCCTCAACCCATTGAGCCATGCTGGCCGGGCTCAAAATATTTTTTAAATAAGTAAATCACCTACTTTATCTTGGACTTTGACTTGATAAACTGATGCAAATGAGTAAGAACTCACTAGTAGAATTGATTATATAATCCATTTTTAATACTGATATGTGCCTAAACACTCAACTTTTTTTAAAAATATAATTTGTTGATTTTTTTACAGAGAGGAAGAGAGAGGGACAGAGAGTTAGAAACATCGATGAGAGAGAATCATCGATCAGCTGCCTCTTGCACACCCCCTACTGGGGATGTGCCTGCAACCAAGGTACATGCCCTTGACTGGAATCGAACCCGGAACCTTTCAGTCCGCAGGCTGACACTCTATCCACCGAGCCAAACCGGTTTCGGCTAAATGCCCAGTTTTATTTATATTCCTCTTATCTCTATATGTACTTGTTTGCCTCCTTCCATACATGAAATCTAGATTCATTTTTAAATAAATTTTAAAAAATTAATTAGGCAGCATTTCCAGAGAACAGTAGGTTTTGTCTGCCTTGAATTATGCCTCAGCATGTATAATACAACCTAAGTAACAAACGAATGTCAGTCAGTCACTCACTGTCAGTGGGGAGTGCCGCATTGCTAAGGAGCCCCTGACCACTGTTTCCGCTGCCTCTGGCATCTACTGTGATTTTGAGCTCCACAGAGGGAAAGGGCAGATGGGAGCAGGCATGAGAGAAACCAAAGTTCTTTATCTATGAACAGTACATTTTCCTACTAAACTGTCCAATTGACTCCAGATCCAAAATTGGCAGCAGATGTTTCTTAAGTGGCCCTAGAGTGACTCACACACCATTTCAGCTGAGACAAGACATACCTTGACAGGCATTCAAATAATGTGCTTGGGGTATTTCTGGATAGTCACCACGATGTCAACAGTCAAGTTTTGAAAGGTATATGTGAATGAGTATCAAAATATCTCTCTTGACAGGATCAGACTCTCACGGCCACCAGCACGAGAGAATATGCTCCATTAGAAAGCAAATGCTTCATGTCAGGAGAATGTAGGTGGCTTTTAGGCTGAAATTATTCATGCCTGTGCCACTGATGTTCTTGGAACATTAGAAAACATTTCTTCTTGTCTAAGTTAGTGTATCCTCAATCCTTCTACTTCAAGTACAGGATTTGATCAGACTAGAATGAGTATAGAATGAGAACCTAATCTAAATGTTAGAACATTGGTTCTAATGCAGCAGGGTGGGGGGGGAGGCTTAACTGTTTCTTAAATTTATGCTGAATATGGGAATTTTTCTTACTAAGCATATCGGTATCATTAATAAGAAAGTGCAGCTTTTAATTCATACACTTTGTCTTCCAAAATTGCATTTTAAAATATCTCAACTTTCAAAAAAATTTTTTTAGCCGAAACCGGTTTGGCTCAGTGGTAGAGCGACGGTCTGCAGACTGAGGGGTCCCGGGTTCGATTCCGGTCAAGGGCATGTACATTAGTTGTGGGCACATCCCCGGTAGGGGTGTGCAGGAGGCAGCTGGTCGATGTTTCTCTCTCATCAACGCTTCTAGCTCTCTATCTCTCTTCCTTCCTCTCTGTAAAAAATCAATAAAATATACTTTTAAAAATGTAAAGGTTTTTAGTGAAAGGGGAAGGGGGCGGGGAGAGAGAAAGTTTGATTGGGTGGTCTACTTGTGTATGCATTCACTGGTTGATATGTACCCTGACCAGGTATCCAACCTGCAATCTTGGTGTATGGACATGATGTTTTAATCAACTGATCTACCTGGCCAGGGCTAAAAATATTTCAGTATTTTAATAAACGTAAAATATAAGAAATATTTTTTTTCTAGAAATGTTATTTTTGTTCTATATTTTCAAATATAGAATTAAATAGACTATATTTAAGAAAGCATTGAGAGCATCTTTATAAAAGAATATGTTTTTTATTTTTATGTATGTGGGATCGAGCCCACAACCTATCCACAACCAGGAACCAAACCGTGACTTCTTGGTTCAGGGGTCGTTGCTCAACCATTGAGCCATACCACCTGTGCTTGAGATCATCTTTATAACACATAGCGGGGGAAATGGGCCTTATAAGTATATAATTTCTGAATTTTATTACTTTCCACAGATACAACACACTCAGGGGAAATTGGCACCAAGAAAAAAGTGAAAAGACTGTTAAGCTTTCAAAGATACTTCCATGCATCGAGGCTGCTTCGTGGAATTATCCCACAAGCCCCTCTCCACCTGCTGGATGAAGACTACCTTGGACAAGCAAGGGTGAGCTAGCTACCCCTGTGCCACCTCACCATGGCCAGGAGCCGAGAGCATGTGCCACCACTGGTAGTAGGGTTGAGTCCTGCTCCTACACTGAGATGCTCTGTGGCTTTGGCTTGTTACTCAACATATCTGTACTTTTTCCTCTATTATAAAATGAAGTTAATAGAAATACACACCTCATGTTTGCATGCTAAGTATATTCATACCTAGTATTTTTATTTCATAAATGTGCAAAACATAATTAACCCATTGAATTATCTCATTGTAATAGCTACCATGAAATTAACCCAATAATAACCAACTCTTAATTCCATTTTAAGCTAGCAATGTGGTGCATTATCTTTTTCATAATTTTTAATTCATTCAAATAATTGTTACTAATTTTACAATTATGTTTGCCATTCATTGGTCCAACTGAGGGTGGAAACTAATGTGTGACAATATAAACAAAAGCTTGCAGGCTACCTCTAACCCAAACTGCCTAAGGAATTTAGAATTTAGAAATAAACTGCCTCAGTTTATACAGAAGTCAAAGGTAGTGTCTTATAGTTTACATGCTAAGTAATATTATGATTTATATGTATACATACTATTAAGAAATAAGTAGCAAGTAATATCACAACTAATTCTCAATATCAGGTCTACAAAAGAGAAGGGATGGGGGATCACTCCCTTTAACAACCCAAGGCCTGAGTTGAGCGAATTGGTTTGTTTGTTGTTCCATTTGTTTGGTAAAAGGAGAATAAGACTAAGCTCTCAGCACCGGAGCCTCAGTGACAGACACACTCAGTGGTGCCTCCCCTCTAAGCAGCCACTTCTCAAGAAAAGGCGACACTGAGATACAGAAAGAACAGCGGGCCAGAAGTCAGGGTATCAGTACCAAGTCCTGGCTCGGCCCTTAGATTTGTATGATTTGGGTAAAAAGGCTCACTCCATCTAGATCTCACAAACAGCCTCTTAACCCTTCATTTTCCTAATGTTGTTGTGAAAGTCTTTGTAGGCCATGGATTTTTCACAATGTACAAAGAAGCCACTCAGGGGCAGGTAGGGGAGCAGGAGCTGATCCTTACCTGGAGCCGTGGCTGTGAGAAGAGAGGAAGGAAGACACTGTCGCAGAAGCTACAGTGAGGAGAGAATCAGCATCTGGAACTTTATGTCAGACTGAGAGTTTCTAAGCACTGGGGTATTTTAAAAAGAAAAATAGGATAATAAGCCTATTGAAAGTAGGTCTTTACCCGAATGTTTTCAATTACTTGCTCTTCAGTTTTCTGTTACAGTGGTTCGTTTTACATTTAGTCCCACATTGAGCAGAGTAATGTGCTCAGCCATCATTTTTACTCCATTTTATTAAAATTAGTTGTAAACCTGCCTTCAGTGAATAATAGTTTACCATGTAGAGACGTTGCTGAACTATAATTTTAACGGACATTCAACATGGGTGTGCTTACTATGTACAAGCATTGTTGTAAGCCCTTAAATTACAGGCATTTATGTTTATATACGTTACCTTATTTAATCCTTACAACAACCCTCTGAAGTAATAATATCAGCCACATTTTTCAAATTGGGAAACTGAAGTACAGAGAAATTAAGGAACCTTCCCACAGTTCCACAGTCAGTAAGAGACGTGGTTGACATCGGGTCAGGCAGGCTGACCCTGAGCCTGTCCCTTTAACACCTGTCCCTTTAACACTACGTGATTAGCCAATAGAGTAAGATTTATTTTACCACAAACCAGTTGTAGATTGATAGTAGAATGCTACTATATTTTCAGTCTTAATTGTTTAATCCACTGTGTCTCAAAGTGAATATTTGAGTTTCCAATGTGATTCATTTGAGTGGTTTTTTGTTTGCCTTTCAGCATATGCTCTCCAAAGTGGGAATGTGGGATTTTGACATTTTCTTGTTTGATCGCTTGACAAATGGTAAGTCACCAGAAAGAATTCACACTAAAATATACACCATAAATGGGATTAATTTCATGAAAACAATACTTATTTTTAAACATTGATAATCCTTTTTCCCTCTTTCCCCACTTTCATAAGTCTCCAGCCACTCAAGGAGGACCAGGGCAAAGAAAATTACTGCCAAAAAAGAATAAGGAATAAATTCGGCCTTAGAGTCTTAAAACAGTTTCCTTCTGGCCTTGATGATCCCAAAGGAATTAGGAAAGCACAGATGAGGTTCTGTCCTTGCAGAATATTTTGGCTCTATCCAAAGGGAGGAAGTTCATTGTTAGCCAATGAATATTAGAAACTGCTCATCTATCTGATCAGTCCTGCAAGGCAGGTATTTGTGCACTTTCAATAAGTGCGTCAAACCTGCCCTATAGCTTGGTATTGTCCAGATACGTTTGACATCTTCAGAAGAAAACAATTGCTGAGGATAGAGTGGAAAAGCTTAGGCTACAGCTGAAAGGAAAGTAAATATTCTCATTGGTTTCGCTTTTAAAATTTTTGTGCCTAAAAGGCTTCCTTTAAGAAAATAATGAAATCCTATTATATTTCCATCTACCTATTCAACAAATGATGGTAAGCTTAAAGAGCCAATGAAAACATCCCATTTAATGCCAACTTTCTTCTGTCCCACCATCTACCAAACTTGTGATTTGTCATTGCAACTTGTTTTCTTGTCATTCTATTACTTGACAAAAAACATATAGTGGAAAGAGTACAGCCTCAAACCATAAAACTGAGTTTTACACTGTGGAAAGCTAACTAGGCCACATAGGGATGGATTCCATAATTTTTTATCTCCCTTTGCTCAAATCATCTGAGAAATTGGTACCAGTTAATGAAATTAACTGTGACCCAAAGAACATGTTCAATGGTACTTATTCAAAAGAGATTCTACTCATGACTCATAGACATATGAAAAGAGCATATCTCAATTAGCGATTTGGTAAGATGCCACAGCTCTTTAAAGGAGGATTCAAAGAACCACACATATATAAGCAGTAAGAAACACATGAATTTATAAATAGCTGTAAAACTGGAAGGAGGAAATTAATTATATTTCTGTCTGAATGATTTCATTTGCATGTAAATGGACAAGAGTTGCTTGAAATACTATCAGTTATCTACAACTTGATAGTTGTGAAGTAGCCCAAAAACAATGAAAGTTGCAGAAACACTTAGAATGAGGTACCCTGGAAGAGTATTCTTAGGCAACACATAGTTTTTATTTAAGATGTCCAGTCATCTTCTTGGCCCATTTCACAATCTTTCATAAACTCTAGGATACTTTTAAAATTCAAAATCATGATTCTTTAATAAGTAATATTCCTTGAATATTTACATGTTTTTGTAGCTTCAAATTTGCATCTTTGCCAGCTTGAGTTATAAAATGTCTCAAGGTTAAGTATAATCTTGACTGATTCCTAAGTAGGCCAATTCCTTATATAACTCCTTATAACTCTTAATATTGCTAATAATTCATTGCTTTTGGTGTACGGAGATGATCTGAACTAATTTTCTTTGTACAATAAGAGAAACTTAAGACCAGATCATAGTAATAATATCCTTTATACTTGAATAATTTCAAGTTTAAAGAGGAAAATAAATGATCCTATTAGAAACCTTTCATCACAGAAACTGTGGATCCTATTGTCGATCTTGATAATTTAATGGTAATGAAAACGAGTTAAAAAACTGGTGACTGTTTTCCTCCAGGAAACAGCCTGGTAACGCTGCTGTGCCACCTCTTCAACACCCATGGACTCATTCACCATTTCAAGTTAGATATGGTGACCTTACACAGGTTTTTAGGTAAGTCTTTTTTTTCTTTCATATTTCTACCTCCTTTCCCGTGAATAATATCAGTCCACAATAAACTTGCAGGAATCCTAGCATGGTAGATGAAGACTTCAAATTAATCTCAAATTATCTAATCTTAATTTTAAAGTATGGTTTACCCATTTAAATCACTGGGGGGAAAATGTTTATTTGGTTAGTTATGTTTACAGTACATAAAGGCTATATAGAGAAAAACCAATAAGAGCAGGTACCTGTTGAAGAAGTTACTGATTTATTCACATATCAACAAAATTCTAATAAGGCATGCCTCAAAGAATCCCAATCTGGACATGAGTTATTGACTATTTTCAATAGACATTTGTTTTTAGTAATAAGAACTACCATTTATGTAGTGGTATGTCATTTCTAATCATTTCAACAACCTGGCAAGTTGGGCATTATCACCACCACTTGGCCCACAGGTAAGAAGGAGTACAAAGTGGTATTGTACCTTGCTCAAGGTCAACAACTTATAATTGGCAGAGCCTCAATCTAAATCCAGGCTCTCTGACTTGAAAGACCACCATCTTTCCCCTTAACGCTACCACCGCTCTCTGTCCAGAACAGCCCCAGTTCTTATTCGACTTTACGTGCATCCTTATTTATCGGCCAGTGAATTATCTAGGGCACATTTTTAATCACCATATGACTTTCTGCTGCCACTTAGCATGTTTCTGGCTTCTGTGCTTTGAATTTGAAAGCTGACTTGATGCCATCAAGAGTAAAATAACAGTGAAAATGATAGCAACAGTAGCAGCAACCAGGCTTATCTGGCGCTTACATATGCAGGGAACTCGTCTAAGGACTTGCATGTATTAACACTTGAAATCCTTACCATAGCCCTTTGAGATTGGAGCTATTGTTACCCCCATTTTATAGAGAAGGAAACTGAGGGTCCTTGTGGTTAAGTAACTTGCCTGATACAAATAATAATGATAGAGGCAGAATTCAAATATAAGTGTAAAATAAACCTGCTGAATAAAAGGTATACATGGCACAACAGAAATGTTTGAAAGCAGCCACAACATGAATCAGTTTCAGAAATACAAATAAACTCAGGCGATTAAAATTAGATTGCTTGAGCAAAGTAATGGCCATGAATAAGGCCAAATAGTTTTAATCTGTCTAGAGAAGGAGAATACAGACACTTTAGACATGTGTATGCACCCAGAGAACATGTAAAAAAAATGCAAAAATTTGATGACAAAAATAACACCAGAATCCAGAGCCAAACTCACAGCATGGGCTGACAAAATATGACCACACTTGCAAACCTGGATATTCTATACACACTGACTATATTGCATCCTAAGCATTGCCTTGGTCATTAGCTGAAGCAGGCTAGTGGCTTCTCTAAATATAGCAAATTTAAATTGCCTTGCTTATGTCTCTACTTGATTCCAAGAGCACTCTGGTCCTTAGATTGGAAGGGCATGAAAGATGATAACTACTCTGAATGAGGTAGAAATAAAGCCAAGGAGTTCTCAGTAGGATCAACACAGTGCATTGAAAATCTGCCTAAAGAAGCCTCAGATTTGCTGTGGTCCATATTTATTACTGGTAGATCCATCTTTGGATCTCAGGAGTCCGATGCTACCTACTAGAGCTGTTTAAAAGGAAACCTCTTTTATGGCATATTATTCATAAATGGCAGCAAAATTAAATAATTAAACTGTAGTGTGAAGTAAAGTTGTCCGTTTCCTACATATTTATTTTTCCTATGAATGAAAGCCTTCATGAGTGCCAGGGAGGGGTGATTAATGAAGGTGGTGAGGATTCCCAAAGGCCTCACAAATCCTTTTAACCTTCCCCCATCTGCTTTGCCTTACTCCTTCTTGCCACTAAAAGCAGCTCAGTAGAACTGCGAAACTCCCAGCCTGTGTTCATTTTTTTTAAAATCCCTCGGGTGCACATTTTGGAGGCACTAATATTTTAAGCAAAAGGGACTCTCAATAAATCTGAGGTCTTCCTGTTTTGGTTTCCAATGACTGAGTTATCTGTTTACCTCCTAGTCATGGTTCAAGAAGATTATCACAGCCAAAACCCGTATCACAATGCTGTCCATGCAGCCGATGTCACCCAGGCCATGCACTGCTACCTGAAGGAGCCAAAGGTAAGGTCTGACCCAGCTGCCTCCTCAGCCATCTGGAAATGCCAAGTAAACTACTTGCTGGGTTCTGAATCACCTAACATATCAGAATAACTGTTGTGGGCCATTTATAACTCAAATACAAATTGTTTATATTCCAGTCCCAATATCAGCTCTGAAAATCACGCAATTATTCATGAAAGAGGATGTAAATTTTCTGATGTTTCCTTTCATAACTTGTATGAAAGGCTGCATTGGGACAAAAAAAATCCTCCCCATGATAGTCTGCATTTTATGTCTTCAACAGTCCTAGAAAATAGCAGTTTTGCCTTGAATCTTTGCTACAAATGGTACCAGCACTGACAATTGCTGGGAAAGGTTTCCAACCTCATGGTTATTGATGGAAACATAGAATCAAAACTCCCCAAGGCTCAAACTCCACTTCCTACGAAGGCAACTGAATATCCTGATTCAGGCCCAAGAAAATGAGTGAATGTCACAGTCCTCTTAGCAAGCATACTCTGATGTGATCAACCAATCCAAAATTTAAAACATGATAATAGTGCTTGTTACTAAAACCTGAGTCATTTCTTAGTCATATACAGTTGGTATAACATAGAGGATGAATTTTCTTAAGGTTTTTAAAAATAAAATCCCAGTCCAAAACTCTGTTCAGTTCAATCAGTTTTAACATCAACCACCAACTATGCAGACGCCAGAAAAACATTCCCAAGACAAAACTGGGTAGATGTCTTATCAGTATAAAATAGCCTGAAGACATTAAAGGCTCTCTTTTTTTAATCTCTAGGTAGCCTGAAAGTTATATATTTAAAGTTAATGTTAGATTCCCATTCCTCTGCTTATTTTTCTAGCTAAGAGAGAGAGAGAGAGAGAGAGAGAGAGAGAGAGAGAGAGAGAGAGATTCTCACACACCCACATACTCCACTATTACACATTGAATAAATATGCAAATTTTGCAATTCATTTTTTAATATGTTTTTATTGATTTCAGAAAGAGGAAGGGAGGGGGATAGAGAGAAAGACTGACGAGAGAGAAACATTGATTGGCTGCCTCCTGCCAATTCCCTATTGGGGATCGAGCCCACAACCCAGGCATGTGCCCTAACCAGGAATCAAACCAGGCAACCTCCTGGTGCGTGGGCTGGGCATTCAGCCCATGCTGAATTTCATATTCAAAGGATGGCAATGATATAGTGGATGGTTGAAATATGCAATTTATTTTTTTTATGTGTCCATCATTTTGGTTTTAACAATTCACTTCATTTGTAGTTTTCTCTGGAGCAAGGCTGCTTTCAGGCTCTGACTTCTCTCTGCCCACAGACAGGCAACAACACTGCAACAACAAAGAGAAACAGAGTGGCAGTAAGAAATGGAGGGGGGGTACCTGAATGCTCTACGGCAATTTGAATTGCTCAGTTAGTTTCCTCACAGTCCTTCCTTTTCCTTGCAATTCATGTGACTCACCTCACCGACTGCTTCAGAGGTAAAAGTCTGGAGGATGAAAGGCCTGGACAATTTTGAGATGCTTCATTCAGTATGAGTTAGCCAAAACAAATGGTAACCCGTTTGTGAAAACATCCCCTTTGACCTCCCAATTTCATTTTTTTTAACAGCTCGCCAGCTTCCTTACACCCCTGGACATCATGCTTGGACTGTTGGCTGCAGCAGCCCACGATGTTGACCACCCAGGAGTGAACCAGCCGTTTTTGATCAAAACTAACCACCATCTTGCCAACCTATATCAGGTAAGAGGGCTCAACACTGGTCCAGGCACAGTATGGCCAACTGCCTTAGACTAGATCCAATCCTGGAGCCTGGATCTCACCCTTGGAGATGGCTTCATTCAGGGTCAGCCACAACGATGACCACAGCCAAAGAGCATGGATTTGAAATAGGTCCAGGATATCCCCTTTTAATTTTAACTAGTTAAAAGGATCAAATTAGTTTACAAGGATATACAAGGAATTCAATTTGCTCTGAAGCAGATTTGAAATTATTAGAAGTCAAGCAGGATCCCTACTCTCTGATAGTCTGAGAATATCTGTGTCCCTGGAAATTATCTCATATACCATGGCCAGTTGAAGCTAGTGCTTGTAGGACTTCTATAAATGGTATTGCTCAAGTGCAACCCTAATTCAGATTTACGTTTCTAGGGCCATTTCTGTATTTTATAGACCTGTGAGTAAGAAGTATTTTATCAAAGACAATAGACATTGTTAAAAAAAAAAAAAATAGTTCAGCAGCATGAGAAGATTGGCCAAGAGAATTTTCACCCATGATATTGTTTCACATATTAAGCCATATGTCATAAATGAATTATCCCCATAATTTTCAACAGGATTATTTGGAGACCTTTGGTTGTCATTCACAAAATCATTACATACAAGAAAATTATTGATCTCAATTTTAGTAGACCTTTCGGGAAAAAAATTTAGTGCTGAAAGAACTCCTGACAGATCCCCCCCATAAAACAGCTTCTTTCTACAAGATGTTGCAGCTTAAGAATTCATTTATTTCCAACAAAGCACAAAAGGCACATTTTCAAAAGCCTTTCTCCATCCAGTTGATTCGCTTTGGGCATAAGGAGAAACTAGTATTCCAAGGTTCCACCTGGTATGTATTTCAGCACTGGGCTTCCCTGGGCTGTCAGCCAGCACCTGGAGCTGGGATAGATATGGTCATATAGAGGGGACAGGATGACAGAACTAAGAAAGTCTTTTGATGATAAACTAAAAAATTAAAAGAAAAGAAAGAAAGGGAGAGAGGGAGGGAGGAAAGGAGGAAAGAAGGAAGGAAGGAAGGAAGGAAGGAAGGAAGGAAGGAAGGAAGGAAGGAAGGAAGGAAGGAAGGAAGGAAGGAAGGAAGGAAGGAAAGGAGGGAGGGAGGGAGGGAGGGAGGGAGGGAGGGAGGGAGGGAAGGAGGGAGGGAGGGAGGGAGGGAGGGAGGGAGGGAGGGAGAAAGGGAGGGAGGGGAATCAATCAATGTAATTGGTTACTTAATCTATTCCCAAATAATCTAAATGCTTATATAATTCCAATTTCTCATCATCAAGTAAATTATATCAATGGGAGTTTGAGAGTATTATTGCTATTGGGCAATTTATACATAAAAATTAGATTCATCATACTGTACTTTGGCATGTAGTAACTATATATAAGACACATAATGAATTCACATTTAGATAGAAGTCAGAAATAAAGCAGACATTAAAGACATAAAAAACAAGAAAGTAAGTATAGAATTTCATCAATAATAAAGAATTAAGTACTCACTGCTAATTAACAAAAATTGATTCTCAAAAACAAGATACTCCAATCTATCCTTTTTAGATATTAAAAAATGTTCTCCAAAATGGATTCCTTATCCAAACCTTTGAAGTACAAATAGTTTAAGTAATTTTTATTAACATTCCAATACAAGCAAATTTTCCAGCCTTTTCAATACAACATATAGTTATGTATATTTTTCATCAGCAACTATTGCCTATATTGCCTATATAGGATCTAGACATACAAACATGAATAACATATAATCTCTGCCCTAAAACATTTGTTCATACTCAGATGTGCAAAAATCCAAGAAAATTTAATCACACTTTGAAAAAGCTTTTTTAAAAAAGTCTTTGAAAAGTAAATGCCTGTGTTGTTCTTTGCATCCAAAGATATTACTATAATAAAGTGAGCTATTATTTTTTTCTAATAGTGAATTTATCAGCATCTAATCTTTGATAGAAAAGAAAAGGGTACTTTAGACAATGTCCAGAGAAAAATTGGGATACAGGGCTCAAAACCACATTCAAGACAGTATCTTCATCAGTATCCTGCTCGATTGGTCTTAGAATCTCTTGGAGGCTAGAGATCTATGTCTTTATGTTATAAAAGCATGATGAATGCAAGCCAGTATTATAAAATTACTTCCAATATGAAACTTTTTATCAGCCCAATGAGATTTCAATTCTGCCCCCAAAACTGATACTGCCTTTAATATTTGGCTATATACCATTGTTGACTACCTGAAGGAACTCGCAAAAGATAAATTCCCTGTTAAAATCAGTTGTAAAAAGTATGTAACTGACCTTTATTCAACACTCACTATAATTCCAATGCTGTGCTAAATGCTTCTTATGTATTATAATATTTAATCTTCACAGTAGCCCAGTTAGTTGGGTATTATTATCATACCTGTTTTATAGAAAGGTTAAAATAAACAGCTAATTAATGACAAAGCTAGGATTAGAACTCAATCTTTTGTCTCCAGAGCAGAAGTGCCTACACACTATGCACACTGCCTCTAAAACTTACATACATTACCTACTGTGTGCAGGAAACTAAGAGCTCTCCCCTAAGTCATCCTATTACAGGTAGGGAGACAAGAAGATTAGATATCAGTGGCTTAAAGCAGGAGATTTTGCTAAGTCCTCTATAATAGACAGTGAGAGAGTGTAGTTGGAAGGTAGTAATTGATTCTGCAGATAGTTTCTGAAAGAAAAAAAAACTCATGGAGAATGCATGGTGTAAACTGGGCCTTGAAGCATGTATAACATTTTAAGTAACATTTTGGAGGTCATTGAGAAACAGCACAGTCTGGTGTACTTTTGTGATTAAAACCCACAACTCCATAATAACTGGAAATGGACTGTCCCCATGGCCTTAGCTGAGCATTGTCCTGCCATGAACACACCCTACTCTCAGATCAGTGTCTGATAAATTCCCTGTAGATTAGCTGTACCGAAAAGGACCTGGGTCAGAAAATCCCCACACTGCGTAAACTGTAGACGAGGAACTGGCATAGGTCTCCAGGTTTTCAATTTCAAGAGGAAAAATCATGGTACATAACATATAAGCTGAGTGAGACCATTAACAACACGTGATATTTTTTTAAATGTTAGAACTGTAGCCTTTTAACCTACCAAGGGTCTGTGGTTGAAACATGAACTTTTAGGAAGTTACATGCAGATTTTGAGTATGTATCTATGCATATTTTTTAGGGAGAGGACCCATCACTAAGACTCATATTTTAAAATGAATTCTAGATTCAGCCGAAACCGGTTTGGCTCAATGGATAGAGCGTCGGCTTGGGGACTGAAGGGTCCCGGGTTCGATTCTGGTCAAGGGCATGTACCTTGGTTGCGGGCATATCCCCAGTAGGGAGTGTGCAAGAGGCAGCTGATTGATGACTCTCTCTCATCGATGTTTCTAACTCTCTATCTCTCTCCCTTCCTCTCTGTACAAAATCAATAAAAATATATTTTAAAAAAATAAAAAATAAATAAATAAATAAATAAAAATGAATTCTAGATTCAGAAAACATTAAGAACCATGGTAATGAAGGAAAATATATTTATGTACACACACTACATATATTATACAATATATTGTGAAATTATACAGGAACATGCACTCACATTTGGTTAACAAAAATACAATAGAAAGGATGTGCTGGGAATTATGTGGCTTTGAGAACACCCTGTGCGTGATTACTACAATCCACATTTACTATAAATGAGATAAAATGAAAGGACTTCCTCCCCCTCCTTTTGTTGGCTATGTTCTTTTAGTTCGGATACCTAAGATTGTTACAAAATGCCTAGCCTGTGTTTATGCCCTGAGACAAAGAGAGAGCCAGGGCAGCTGGATAAAGGCTGGGTCTAGGGTCTCTCTCCTATTGTCTGTGTCTGGGCTGGACTCACTAGCTGAACTTTCAACCCAAGTTCAAGTCAAGACATTTCCACCTAGCACCTCTCTCATCAGAGTGGAAACAGTCCAGGTGTCCATGGTGGGACTGAGAGGGAAAGAGCAGATGAAAGCTAGAACCCATAATTTATCTTCTGTCCCTCTACCCTGCAACCCCACACATTGGGCAAAGTGAGCATTAAATCAGATATGGTATTATTACCACTGCAAAAGAAATCACTTTTAGTTTCATTTAAAATTGAATTCCCTTTGATGGAGTCCAACTATGTATGAACTAAAGACAGAGCAACCTAATGAATAAAGTAATAATTAACTGCTGCATAAAACTTCATATTTATTACATTTTAAACTGTCTTGCTGAAATTTATAATCATTTCCTTAGTCACTTATCACAAACACTTGGAGGAGGTCAGCATATTTTTAACCACTTTTTATTATTTTGATGACTCTGAACCGTAAATATGGAGCTGACAGAACCAGAAGTGTTTTTTCCACCTGGTCCTATGGCCTCTTCTCAAACAAGCAACCACCAAGGTGATATGTAACCTCACGATTCCTGCAGTAGCAAAGGTGTTTGGGCAAATGTTGTGAAAATATTAAGAAGGAGACTCAAATTTGATTTTCTGCTTAGTGAAGTTTCTGCTGTTCATGGTGAGGTAGCTGGTACGTGGCATGTCCGTGGCCCTGATCCGAACACGGGCCCGCCCCTTGGACAGCAGTGGATGTCCAGGCTCCTTGAGCAGAGGTGTGGGCAGGTGTAGGTCAGACAAAAGAGCGATATCTTCAAACAGGCGGTAAACGTAGCAGTGCCGCAGTTTCTCCAAAGGCGAAGGTCTTATTCCTCTGAGACCTCCTGGGCTGGGATTTGTGCAGCATTGCCAAGGAGACCACTTGGCTTGTTAAGGGAGAGCTCAGCCACTTCATTATCTCCTGGAGTCTTGCTTCTGTTTCATGAGCAATTAAAAAGGAAAACAGACTATGTTCATGTTGTTTTTCTTCCCATAATCTCTGGTTTAAAAGAGTAATTAACTCTGACTCCCTTTGAACACCAG